GGGGGGGGGGGGGGGGGGGGGGGGGGGGGCGAGCTGGCGGCCGAGTCTGCAGGCTGCGGGTCACTGGTGTAACAAGGAGGCTGCGCAAGGGAAACGGTTAGTGGCATGCAACAGGTGCAGGCGGCCTGGGAAGCAGCTGACTGACGTACGAGGGTGGCTGCGACCGAGGGTCGAGAGTGGAGAGGGGAGAGTGGAGAGTGGGCGCGCAGGCGAGTGGAGAGGTGGGCGGGCCGCAAACTGCTTTGTCCGTCAGCGACCGAGTGAATACATGGGATGGGATGGACGGCGCGAGGGCGCCCATGCCGAGCCTGCGTGCGCGCGGCCCCGACCGACGACGGGCAGACGGGCAGACGGGCAGCCGGCGACGAGGCAGGTGCAGGTGCGACGCGTGAGCCCACGGCCGACGGAAGCGGGCAGGAGCGACGGGCAGAGGTGGCAGGCGCGACCGCGAGGGGGAAGGCGGTTGCGACACGCCCCAGCACTCACTCACTCGCTCACTCGCTCGCTGGCTCCTCGACTGCCTGGATGCTGGCGCACTTACTTGGCTGCTGCTGCTGCTGGCTTGCTCGCTGGCTGGCTGGCTTCACACACTCACATCCACACCCACACGGGCAGACAGGCCCCAACGGCGCGCGCGCGCAAGAGGGCGAGAGAGAGGGCGAGAGAGGGCGGGCGTGTTACGATGCGCGGCGCGACAGCCTGTGCGACGCTGGCGGTTGGGCGTGGCGATGGGCTAGCGGTGCCAGTGCGATGCTATGCAGGCGGACGCTGGGCAGGGCGACAGGGCGACGGGGCGGGTCGAGTCAAGGGCGTAATCCGGGCGCTGGACTGGCGGCGGTGCTGGCAATGGGATTTCCACGAGCGGTTGCGCTTTCGGTCGCGATGGAGGTGAGCAGTGGGAGACGCGCCTGCCAATAGGAGCGCGAGGAGAAGATGGAGGGGGGGGAGGCTTTGAGCGCCCGAGATGGGGGAAAGCTTGGGCTTGGGGTGTAGCGCGCGCGCGGAGAGGCGGAGAGAGACTGGGTGGCTTCGTCCTGGCACTGCGCCTGCCTCGCCACCCGACGCGCCACTCAGCGCCCACTGCCCTTCTCCCCCTCCCGGCCCGCCCCGGACCTTTTGCTCGCGCCTTCCGACGACAGCCTTGCCCAGCCGGACTTCTGCCTACTGCCACTACAGTACACCTACACCCTGCACCACGCCTACTACATACTACTCCATACTTACCTCACCACCACCACCACCTCACCCCCATCTTGCGCCCGCGCTCCCACCCGCATGTCGTCAGAGCACGCCTGCAAACTACTACATGCGCTAGCCGGCGATCCTCCATGTATGCACGCCGTGCCACCACCTTTCATTCGACAGCCCTACGCAATCCCACGTTCTCCGTCCCTCTTTGGCCCCATCCACCACTGGTGCTGGCTCTCCTCAGACCCCACATGGCTCGATACACACACGCCGCCTGCCTCTAGCTCTTGTCCCGTCCGTGTGCGGCGTATACCCTTCGTCGTGCCGAGTCCCCTGCCGTTGCCAATCCATGTTCCTTTTGGTGTGCGCAGCCGTGTCTGGCCCGGTTCCCCCCCGCGCGCCCTCTCCCAGTAGCATCGCCCCCGCCATGTGTCGTTGTCAAATATGCTCGTCTTGTTGGGCGCGAGTGCATGCATGCAGCCTTGCTCTCAGCTTCACTCTCCCCCCCCACCGCTACATGACGCTTGCGCTAAGCCGCTCCCGGAGCAGAACCTCACCGTTCATCCTGCTGCTTGCCCACACAATTGCCGGTAGCCTATGAGCTACGTGTCCATGGCCGTGGGAGCATGGCCGCAGATCAGTGCGTCAGCCCGACTTGGGCCAACTCGACAGCTCATCGTGCAGCGAGTCCCACGGTGCCGAGCACGTGCTGCCTAGCTGCTAGATCCCTCTAGGAACCCAACGTCTTCGCTAACGATTCAGTTTGCTGACTGACCGAGTACCCAGCTCCGCCTTGGATACACCGTGTGGCGTGTGGGGGGCCGGTGCTATCGACTTTGCTTGACCACCCGTTGTACGTACCGAGTCTGCTCATGGACGCCAATGCCGAGAGCTTCACATATCATTGCCTGAGTTACGGTACTACCATCATACTTGCTCACAGCTGGGGTCTCGAATCTTCCAGAGGCACAGGTGCCGTATGTCTTATGGTGGCATGCTGTGCAAAATTTGTCCACCAAGCCACACTCTATCGCGGCTCTACACTGCGATCGGCAACGACTGCAACCTTCCAGCAAGGGCCCATCTTCATCTGACCTGACTCCGATGGCCGAAATTCTGCCGCCGTACATGTCGGTCGTACCCCCGGTGGCTCCAAGCCTACGTCGTGTACCCTCCCTGTCAAAGTCATGCCGCATGATCCGGGGGGCTTCTATTGCCCAGGTTGTTGGACAACCTGAATGTTATTCTTCTTCTGCAAGCCCCAAAGTCAGATCTGTCTATTCCTTTTGGGGAAATGTAACAATAATGCACAACATACCTTCCACTTTTCCATTTCATCCTGCTTGGACTTGTACTGCTTGACCAGCTCGTCGAGCGCCTTCTTGAGGCCGTCTGAATTCGTCTGCAGAATCGGTACCACCTCCTTGACCGTCCGCTCAGTCAAGACGCCATTGATCATGCGGAAGCATTTCCTATCCCCTGAAAGTGGCTGCAGCGTCTCTAGCACCAGTCTAATGCACAGTCAGTCACCATTTTCCGTGTGATAACTCTATCGCCCGGGCCAAAAGCAGCCTGGCTCCCCTCTTTTTTTTCCCCCATTCTTTGCTTTTTCCAGATGCAACAGAACAGACATCACCGAGGGAGGGGGGTCCCTGGGGAGACAAGACAAAAAGAGCTGAATCGCTTCCAACAAGCGGTGTGACCAAGAGAGGGGGGGGGGTGAGGGGAACCAAAAGGTCATGCGGTCATGCACGACCAAATTTCTGAAGCACACTTCACTTACTTGTGCTCTTCGGATTCTTGCTCAATGTCGCCAATCTTGGACGCTATCGTCTGTAGCGTATTCTTGTAATTCTGGTATGTTGTCTGAAGCTCTACATTTTTTTTCTCCTCGTTAGATGCTTTGTGAAATCATGTATGAAGAGTTGTTGTCTTTGATTCACCTTGTTGCTTCTTGAGCTGTGCTTGTGACGCCATGCTGGATTTTGGTGTGTTGGGTGGGTGGGTGAGAGCGAGAAGCAGAGAGACAGAGAGGTAGAGCGAGAGAGAGAGAGAGAGAGAGAGAGAGGAAGCCTGGCTGTGTTGTCTCTGGGTTGCGGGGAACTCGGAGGAGAGAACAAAGATGGCAAAACGCAGATGCTTCGAATCTCAACGGCGGTGGCAACCCGCCGTTGCAACAAACAAAGTCAATCTGCAAAAGTGCGTAAGCTGAGATGTCCACTCGCGAATCGGTTCTGGTAAAAGAGCAAGTTGATCGCAGGGCAAAGCGGCGACGGCGGCGGCGTTGCTCAGCGCTCGGACGTTACCTAAACACGCCCTCCCCCCAGTTCACGAGATCTTTTGCCGTCGAGCCAATGAGATGGGCCAATTAGCACTTTGGCTCTCTCCTCCCCATCCCCATCTCCAGACATCCACGCCACACAAGACGACGACGACGACGAAGGGCCCAGACATCCCACTCTGCATACACCATGCATCCGCATCTGCACACGGAAGAAGTGCAAAAGAGTGCGTAAATCCGCTTTCCCTTTCCCTTTCCCCTTCCCCGGCAAACATCGAAATCCCCGCTAACCGGGCGCATGGCAACGGGCATACAGACTGCGCCGACGTGGTAGCCGCGCTGGAAGAATGCCACGCCCACGGGTTCCTGTGGAAAGTGACGGGCAACTGCACCGACGCCAAGCACAAGGTCAACATGTGTCTGCGCGGCATCCGGCTCGAGCGCACGCGCCAGAACCGCGAGGCTGCCAAGGAGAAGCGCGACAAGATCAAGAAGGTGTGGAAGGAGCTGGATGAGAATAAGTAAAGGCGTGCGGGACTGCGAGAAATGTGTTGAAGAAGAAAAAGAATAAGGAGAGGAAGACAAGGAGAAGATGAGGCAAGGGCGCTGTACGATTTACCTTCATACTGGTGGCAGACTGGCATTGCAGGCAGTTGGAGACGTATAAGGCTCGCGGCTCGCAGATGCTGCTTTTATATTATGGCGCAAGGATTCACGGCGTCAGGGAGCAGACTACGGCACGATCTGGATGGGGGGAAAAAGGGGAATTGTACTATTACATGGAGGAGGGCTAGGCCCGACGTTTTCTTCTGCTGCGGCCACTCCCCCCAAAAAAAGGAGCCCTTGAATTGCAATTGGAATACTACTCGTCATCTGAGTTGGAGCTGGATAGGCCGGGCACAGGTGTACCGGCCAGAGGTGTAGTGCCTAGGCTATCCAGTCCTCTCTCTGTGATAAGCCGACCTCCGCCATCTGCAGGCAGCGCCGGAAGTCCAGATTCCTGGCGGATCTTTTCGTACTCGTCGCCAGTCTTCTGTAGCTGTTCTTGAAGGTACTTTTTGCGTTCTTCAATCCTCGTCTTGTCGTCGTTGAGATCTTGCATCTTTTGCAGAATCATGTCTTTTCTTTGTTTCCTCGACTGTATGTCGATTGTGAGGCCTTGGAGCACTTCGTCCAAGTCGGGTAGAGGCGTGATTCGGGGCGGTGTCTTGGTGCCGTCTTCCTCGTCCTCAATCCTCTGACCGTATCGTCCCGCGCGTGCTTGTGCTGCAGCAAATGCAATGTTCCTCTCTTCGTCCGAGTCGCCCGACCCATCATCTCCTGACATTCCCTCGGCGTCGTTGATGAGCTCCGCCATCTCCGCCCGCCGTCGTCGCTGTGCCTCTTTTTCTGACTTGCGACCAAGGGATATTTTGCCATCCTCTACAAAGTCGTCGAATCCTTCCGCAATGTCTTCGTCGTCGTGAACCAAACGAGTCTCTCCCCATTTTTCCTTTGGTCGAAGAGAAATCTCATTCTTATGCTGCCGGAATTCGTCCTCTCCCTGGTCGTCAGATGCCCAGGCCCGGTCATCGTCGTCAAGCGCATTCTCCTCCTGTGCTAACCGTCGCCTTCGCGCCTTCTTTTCCTGTATCTCGGCTTCTGTGGGGATTGCGGACGAGGCCTCGAGCGACGCGATGGGTCCGAACTTGGAGGCAATGTCCAGGGCCCGAGGTTCCTCCTCTTCCTCGTCGGCTATTTTCAAGTCTCTAGGTGTTGATGGGGTCGAGTTGCGCAGTTCGGCAATATAGTCTTTGCTGTATTCCGTCGGCTTGGCTGTTTCGGATACCAGAGGCGAGCGCGCGCGTAGTTGTGCGCTCTTTTCTAGGGCTATGCGACTGAGGTTCGCCTTCTTTGGAGTCACAACTGCGTCGCTTGATTCATCGCCATCGTTCGCCTCGTCTCCACCACCAAAGGAAATCCTCAGTGAAGAGCGCTTCTTTGCTTTACCAAGCGCAGGCCGCTTGACGACTACAAGGCCAGTTAGCACGGAGCCTTCGCCAGCTTTCAGACGGGCCTGAAAAGGTTCGCTGCAAGTTTCCCCAACGTCAGAAAGGCTTGCAATTGCGACATTTTGCGACTAACCTGTAGGCTTCTGGACCTCGCTTTGGGAGTTGTTCGCGCTGTCTGCGGAGTCGTCGTCGTCATAGCTGCCAATCTTGCGCGCCACGCGCGTGGAGCCGGATCGTTTCATAACTGTGGGCGAGGGTCTGTTGTCCAGCGCCGTGTCGGTCGCATCAAATTCGTGTGGAATGTTGAGAAAGGCAGCCAGGTCGCGCTCACATGTCGCTGCTGCCGCCTGTGCACGGACCCTCCGCAAAAAGCCCTACTTGGAGCTACCTATCCCACCATGCGCAACGCTCTTGCTCGTGAACACCACGCGCGACATAAGCCCCTACACGACCAACACGAGCGTATCCACCTGAAGCAACCACTCGCCGCACGCGCAGAAACACCGCAACCCACAAGTGCATCTCCGTCGCCAACATGCCGCAAGCACAGCCCGAGCTCAAGAAGGTGAGTTTGGAACACCAATCCAAGTTACCTCTTGCTAACTTGCACAAGTATCTCGAGAAGCGCGTCCTCGTGCAGCTCAATGGCAGCCGTAAAGTCATGGGTATCCTCCGTGGGTACGATGTATGTATACTCCGATGCCCCCCCAAACCTTCAAAAGTAAGCTCACTCTGTGCAGGTCTACTTGAACATTGTGCTGGACGATGCGCTGGAGGAGAAGGCCGGCGGTGAGAAGGTCCGCATCGGCATGGTTGTCATTCGAGGAAATGCCGTGGTCATGCTCGAAGTACGTTTCCCTCTAGCCCTCTACGTGTCTACCACCCGCTAATTCGCGCTGCAGGCACTCGACCGAATCAACCAGGACGTGCCCAAGATCGGACGATAAGAACTTGTCGCGACCGCAAAACGCCACACAGAAACGCCGTTGAACCGGACCGTGACAAGAGCAAGGCGACAGGACAGATTATGGAGACGATTACATAGCACATTAGGCCTTTGAGGGAGTGGTGATAGACGGGCATACTTCATTAGGCCCTTTCCACTGCCCTCCGTGTCCGGTGCACTTTACGTCTACCGAGGACATTTTTTTTCTTGCGGAACGTCGATGTGGACATGGTCGATATCCACCGTACGACATAGTACCCCATGATACCACACTGAGCATCACTTCATTCAGCATTTGGGAGGGCATACATGGTTGGATCTGAGCAAAAAATGGTCAATGTATGAAAACAAGCGCCAAGGGTTCTTATAGCCATTACTATCATCAGCATCAGAATCAAGAAATTCAACAGCTCACTTAGAGAAAGTCGATCTTTTGCTCGCCTCATCTATTACGCTGCAATAGTCGAGTTTATATTGACAAGTGGCAAGGAACTATCTATAACTTTGCTTTTCCCTGACCTCTCTTGAACTCCTGCACCAGTTGCCACGCAATCTCGGCATAGGGCTTGGTCATTTGGCCGTACTCTTGGGCCTGAGCACTGCTGGCCTGGCGGAGAGCATACCTGGCGGCAATGCCCTGCATGATAATGGCAAGCCTGTAGGTGGAAAAGGCGTCGCCCCAGGTAAAGTCGGGCGTGGGATCCCAGCCGGCGACTTCCGAGTACCAAGCAATCAGCTGGTCGCGGGTGGGCAGGCCCGGGGTGGCGCCTGGCTGGAAGCCCTTGTGAGCGCGGCCAATCGTCATTGCAGTTTCGTTGGAGGCGGTGACATAGGGAGCGAGGACGTTGGTCAAGTCAGACAGCGGATGGCCAATAGTGCTCATTTCCCAGTCCAAGATGCCAATGACGCGGGGCTCCGTCTTGTGGAAAACGACATTGTCGATTTTGTAGTCGCCGTGCACAAACGTGGCGCGGTCCTGCGGCTGCGTCTTGGGGTCGGTGAAAAACGATACCATGGCGTCTTGGTGCGGGATCTTGCCGACGGGCTCCCCCGTCTCCTTGTCCTGGGCTGCCGCTTGCGACTGCGATATCGTGTTGAAGGTGGTGATTTGGCGGCTGTAGAAGCCCGAGTGCTTGCCGTAGGATGCTAGGTTTACAGAGGCTGGGTCTACGCGATGGAATTTGGCCAGCGTGGTAATGGCCGAGCGCCACCTGTGAGAGAGTGAGTATTCCTGTTAAACATGTGTGACCCAATGTGAGTTTTTGTTTTTGTCCGTCTTTTATTTTTCTGGATGTTGTTGAGGGGAAGAAAAGGGCATATCTTGGTCATACATTTTGGTTCGTTCATCAGCAGTCACACTGGGAAGGGCGGGATCCTCGAAGATGCGGCCGTCGAGGAATTCCATGATGTAGAAGTCGGTGCCAATGACCTTTTCGTCTTGACAGAGACATAGTGCTCGTGGAACGGGCACGTCGGTCTTCTCCAGCGCATGGATGATGCGGTATTCGCGGTCGACTTTGTGTGCCGTCTGTGAGCAGCCGTCAAGTCAGCCTTCGTGTGCATTTTTTTTTGAAAACAAGGCTGCTATGTGGTGGTGGTGGTGATGATGATGGTGATGGCGCATACTTTGGATAGCAGCTGGCCCGGAGGCTTCTTCCTCAGAACATATTTCTTGCCAGTCTTGTCCGTCAGCTGGTAGGTTGGGTTCGACTGGCCATATCCAAACTGTTTCTTGATTAGCAAACCATGTTTCTATCATCCGGCTTGGTTATATCGCGCTCAACAGGTCCAGGGCATGCATACTTGTTTCACGTCCAACGGGACCTGGATTTCGGGCACATGAGCAGAGATGTAGCGCTCCAAAGACGCTACGTCGATGGGCTGCCGAACGTTGCCAGCCATGGTGGGTGTGCGTGGAGAGAGGGCATGTCAGGCGCGCGCATAGCCATGTAGTAGTGCGCGGTTGAGCATCACCGACCGTTGGGCCTCGGCAATTCCCCAACATGGGGGGACTTGTCTCGGCGGGCCGGGAGTGGCTGTCGCCTCCGCAGCCGCAGCGAGATAGTTGATACCGTAGAGGCCATGCAGCGCCGATGGAGACGTATTTCCGCTGGCGCAGTAACATTAGTATGCTTGTGGATGGGTGTGCATGCCTGCTGCTTCTTCCCACAGCCACGGGTTCGGCGTGGCGGTTGATTGCAGTACTTAGTGAAACCAGCATGCCTGTCGTAGCGCCGCTCACATATGATATGATGATCAAAGAAATGCAGTCGTGCCCCTCCCCTCCACAGCGTGCCCCGATGCGAAACCTTGTGCATGGCCAGGGAGAGGTATATCGGAAATGTGGGAGCGTTTACCCGGGTCGGTTCCCCTCACGTGCCCACGCGTTTGCCCAAGGCTCGGGTGCAGGGACCATGCTGCGGGTCAATGGACAAGGGCGCGGCTCTGACTTCATCATAGAGTTTGCCTGCTGCAAATGTCGTCCTCTTGCTGGTCCAGGACAAGCGTGTCAAAAGTCGTTGATCGCGACGACTCAGGTCCCTTGCCCGGAAAAGTGGCTCGACTCTGCTGCGTGCCGACACCTGATGGCAAGCCCACCTTGCCCACCTTGCCCGGCCCCTGAGGTGTCACAGTCGCCGGCGCCCTCTCTCCAATCGAATCCATCAGAGATGGGCCGTCTGTCATGCGAAAATAGCAAAGCTGTTGCCGTGGCGCCCGCCGTCACACCTACTGGCCCGGCGTCGCTACCGTGGATGCATTACTCGAGAAGCCTTGTTGGGCGGTGCTGGTGCTGTCAGGTACAGACAGAGCTTGCGTGCCGTGAGGCGGGAGCCCGGACACGGCACGGAGACATGACAAGAAGACGGCCGGCGCGAAGACACAGGTCGAGTATACGGCCGTCTTGCAGACCAAATAGGAGACGCAGTCCCCCTAAATGCGAAGATCGCCATTCATTGGGCCGCGGTCGGTTAAATAATCACGCTTTACTCTGGCTCATGACTTGGCTGCCCGGACCCCTGCAATCCCCCCTCCCCTCTTATCAAAACAAACACCGTCCTTAGTCCTACCTGACGTGTGCTACTCGGAACAGGTCTACCCTGCCAGCACAACGGTCCGGCATGGCCTACCCGCAAACTCCCAGGCGCCTTGGAGCGCGACCGACGCTGCATCCCACAGCCTCATCGCCCAACCTGAATGCCAGCGTCAGCAGGAACATGGCACGGCAAGCCTCTCTCTCAGCACTAGTCGGTGGCGGCTCCTCACCAGCAAGCAGAATGGGCGCAGACGGCCAGGACATCGATGTCGGCGACACGGTCGATGTCCCTGGAGGCATGGTCGGCGTCGTCAAGTTTGTCGGCAGCATTCGCGGCAAGCAAGGCGTCTTCGCCGGAGTCGAACTCAGCAGAGAATATGCGGCGCGGGGCAAGAACAACGGCGCAGTCGACGGGTACGCATAGCGCAACCCTCCCCTCATTGCCTGCCCGCCTGTCTGTACTGACCATGACCACGCAGCACCCAGTACTTCGACACCTCGGTCCCCGGCTCCGGCATCTTCCTCCCCGTCCACCGCGCGCAGAAACGGGTGTCAGGAGGCTCGTCTGACTTTGCTCCCGAACCCGTCACCCCGTCGTACCCCAACTTTAGTCTTTCCACCACCGACAAGCCCAACTTCAGTCCTGAGGCCCACAGGGCCAAATTCTCCCAGTCCGTCGGGCCCGGCGTCCGCGCGACTAGCCCGCAAGCAAAGTCCAGCCTGGGCCGCTCCCTCGCACGCGCAGAGTCGCCGTATCGTCAGAAGTCAGGCTTGAGTGCGGCGCCCGCACGCAACGGCGCCCGCACACCCTCTGGCTTCTCCAAGAGCGCAATCGGCGCACCCCCGCGCTTCGCAAGCCCGGCCCCTCCTCGCTTTGCCAGTCCCGTGCCCAAGGTTCACCCTCCGCAAAAACCACGAACACCAGGCCCCCAGCGAACCTATTCGCGGAGCAGCTCTCGCGTTGACCACCAAGATACTATTGATGAAGACCTCGAGACCACTCCGGTCGGCGCCGCGCGCACGAGCAATGACTCCATATCCAGCTACAAACACCGCCGCCCGGGCTCGCGGCTCGGCTCGGCTCCAAATGAAGAGGTCCAGCGTCTACAGGCTCTCTTGGATGAGCGGGAAAGGCAGCTTAAAGAGCAGGCTACGTCATTGAGTGAGATGGAGGCCAGTCTTGCCGAGATCCAGAGCCTGATACCAGAAGACGGAATGGATATGGGATCGGCGCATGGAAGCAACGAGCCCAGTGATATAGCGCAACTGAAAGCACTTCTCCGCGAGAAGAACGAGAAGATTGCCATGCTCACGTCCGAGTTTGACGCACACCGCTCCGACTTCAGGAGTACTATTGATACCCTTGAACTAGCGAGCACCGAGACGGAGCGCGTATACGAAAAGAAGGTCGAGGAGCTGATGGAAGAGCTGCGGGAATACCAGTCTCGTAGCGATGATGTCGAGACTGTTGCCATGCAGTTGAAGCAATTGGAGGAACTCGTGCAAGAGCTGGAAGAAGGCCTGGAAGACGCACGACGAGGCGAAGCAGAGGCCCGAGGAGAAGTCGAGTTCCTTCGAGGTGAAGTGGAGCGTGGCCGTTCAGAACTTCGTCGCGAGCGCGAAAAGGCGGCTGCTGCCCTAAAGGGCGCGGGCGCAATGGTCGATGCGCCCCAAGGCCCAGGGCAAAGAGAAGTTGAGCAACGAGACGACGAAATCCGAGGACTCAAGGCTATTATCCACTCCTTGAGTTCTGGTGGAGATGACCGCGTCCGTTCACCCATAGCACAAGTCTCTGTGGACGCTGAAGAGCTTCAACGAGCAAAGGCAAACGTTGAACGCTTGGAGCGCGAAAAAGAAGAACTCCGTGGCCTTGTAGAACGCAAAGCATATAGAGAAGAGGAACTGGAGCGTGAGATTGAAAAGCTCAAGAGTCAGCTCGGTCTCGTCGAGCAGCGCGACAGCATGATCAGCAACGGTATGACCGAAGTTCCAGCCGCCCCAGTAAAATCATCAGAGCGCGACTCCAAAGACACAGTCATGAACTGGAAGGACTCGGCACAGCACTCTCGACACGACACGCCCCCCGCTCTCGCTATCATGCCAGAGTCTGACGGCCGGTCATCCGCCAACAGCAGTCATCTGTGGTGCGAGATCTGCGAGACAGGTGGTCACGACATCCTCAACTGCTCGTCCATGGGCGGTGACGCTTCATCCTACTCCCAAGCCGACGACCACACCCGCCACAACAAAGACGTCGTCATCGAGGGTCTCCGCAGTCTCTCCGTCTCAGACCGTCGCCCCTCGATTCTTACCCCCTCTAAGGCGCCCGGCAGCGCCCCAACCGCCCCTCTGCCCAACCCCTCTCTCGACACCTCAAACTCCGATCTCGTCCCCCCGAAGGGCGCCGCCATTGCCGACCCAGATAAATGGTGTGCCCTGTGCGAGAGTGAGGGCCATGACGTTACGGCCTGTCCCAACGAAGATGCTTTCTAGACTTTCTCTTCCTTCTTCTCATGAACACATTGACGATTCCAGCGCAGGCGTTCGATAGAACAACAACAGGAAGAAGAAGACGAAGAAAGAAGAAAGAAAGAAAGAAAGAACACAACCAAAGCAAGAAAAGAGAGAGAACCCCATTCTCACGAATCGTCCATGTATGTTGAGCATAGCAAGAACACAAAAGAAGGGGGGGGAGGGGGTAGCAAGAGCGGGGGGTGGAGAGACGGTGTTTTGAACCCTTTTGTGCGGTTCGAGAAAGCGGGCTTGTGTGATTTTTCTGGCATCCATTTCCCTGCTTTTTTTTCTTTTTCTTCTTCTCGTTTGGTTTGACAGAAGCATATGATATCCCCCACCCCAGTCTTCCTTGCTTGCTTGCTCTCTTGCTTGCTCTCTTCCTCCTTCTCTCTTAACCTGCTCACCTCTCAATTCCACGACTCCCCCCCCCTCTCTCTCCCTTTTCTTTTCATCCAAGCCACGATTTCAAGCAGTGTTAGCAATCCCTTGCCTTTCTTTTTTTTCTTGCCCGTTTTCTAACAATCATATTATATTGCTTTCAATTTCAAGAATTAGTATAATTTGTATCTTTGATGAATGTGTTTACATCTCTCTTCAGGTAGTCTAAGTAGCCTCACCTTCACTCCCAACTTTTTTTTTCTTTCTCGCTAATATATGTGTGTGTGTGTGTGTGGATGTGGATGTATGGGATAGATAGTAGATAGTGAATAAGTGTAATGTTAATATGCAAGATATAAGATGCAAGAGTTCTACGTTTCACACACACACACACACACGCACACAACAGATAAGAGTTTGAAATTTCTTTTAAGGGGGGAACGGGATATCAAACGCCCTTCAACACCCATTAGACCATGCATCCATAATACCAAACATAAACATAACCACAAACAACAAAACAGCATCAAGCTTTTAAATTTTGCTCAAGCCTTCCTGCTCGACTTGTGCTTTTTGCTCTTCTTAGCCGCGCTGTCCTTGAACTTCTCTGCTTCCTTGTAGGCCTCGTCGACGGCCTCGCCCACCTTGCGCTTCTTCTCGCCCGTCTTGACCGACACGGTCATGCTGCTTGCGGCATTGTTGCCCTTTTTGGTGGCGTTGCTGATTGCGCGTTCGGCTTCTTCCCAGTCGGCGGCTCCGGCGCCGATTTCGTATCTAGTGGGGATGTGGGTTAGCTGGGTTGTTGTGAGGGGTTATAAAAAGGTAGTGGGATGGGATGGGATGGAATGTGAGAAGAAAAGAAGTGTGGGGGGGTTAAACGTACTTGTGCAAAGGCAAAGCATCAATCATGCTTCTCTGTCGCTCTCGATCCTCGGCCAGAAACTCCTCGCCGCCCTCCTTCAACTCTTCTTCCAAGCTCTTCTCAAGCGGCTTGAAGCGGCGTGCATCTTCGGCTGTAGCATCTCCGTCGACGCCATTCTCATCAATATCCATAGCCTCGGGCATTGTTTGTTCGACGGCGCCCTCGACGACGCCGCGGAACGCCGTGGCTACTTTGCGCACAATCTTGACGAACATGGCCATGAGCTGGCTGGAGTTGAGATTGAGTTCCTTTTCTAGATCGGAGAATTCCTTGCGCTGGAGCCCAATGGCAAGGAGGAGTGCGGTTTGTACGCCGCTGAGTTTGACTTGGCCTTTGAGACGGCCGGTGAAGTAGAGGAATGCAATCGATGGGAGCATATCGAGAATGACGTGGTAGTCCAGCATGTTATTTGCGTAGGATTCGAGACGCTTGAGGTCGAAGGGCGTGAAGATGGCGTCTAGCTCAGCTTTGCTGATGGGTTTTGCGGCAAGATCGGCATCGAGCTTGGATCCTGCTGAAGCGGACTCTTCTATCGAGAGGGACGTGATGGATGGAAAGGTGCGGAATTGGTACGAGAGGAGGGTAAGGAAACGCTTCTGGAAGTCCTTGGCGAATGCAGCGACCCAGCTGCCGTCTGACGATGTTGTCTCGAGTGAGCGCAGCATGATACATGTGTGCTCTCCAGTGAGGTCGTTGGGTGTTTGCCGGAGGTATACTGGCACGAAAGACGCGCGTTTCCAGAACTTGTGCAACTGCGCAGTGAGACCATATGATACACCGACATAGTCAAGCTTAGGTGACTTCAACTCTTGCAACCGAGCAAACAATGGTGGCATCTCGCTTGCTTCCCGGATCTTGACGTTATCCTTTAGAAGTGATGCGTCCTCCAAGTCAGCTTCTGTTATCCTTCGCATTTGCTCCACCTCTTGAGGCTCCGTCTCGGACAAGCTTGCAAGTTTGCCGTCGTAAAAGTCAACCAGGAGTTGCAGGGCCTTTGATCCATATCCCATGTTGACATATTCCGGGTTCGTTGCTATTCGCACCACACGAGCACCAGACAGGCTTGCAAAGTTCTCATCTTGGAATTGTTGGGATACAATCCATGGGATCAAGTCACCGCCTGCACGCTGTCCTCGGCTCAAACTGTTTAGTACACTTTCCCTGCTAATCTGACCTTCGAGCGCTACCTGGATAACACAGAGAGGCTCAGGAAGCTTGTTCTCTTCTGTAGGTCCGGTGAGAACGAATAGGTGATGCGCCGGCGCATCGGACATGAGCTGCAAATCGTTTGGCGTGTTCTTGTAGTGACTGGCAACGTAGAGCGCCATCATCTTCTGCAAGAATTTTTCTGCAGCCGGGTTGTAGGAAAACAGGGTGTCGCGGTTTACGTGAAGAAGCTGGCATTTGTCGGGGTGCGGGCATCCTTGTGTGGTTATTTTTCGTGGTAGAGTTGCGTCAAGACATAGAAGGTCGTTCATCCAGCGCTCGACAGAGTCGCCTTGAGCGTATCGAATGGGCTCCGAAAGCGTAATCTCTCGTAGCGAACGACCAGTCATCGTGGTCTCCGAGGCATCTTTTGTCTCCTTTCCTGTTGACCGATCTACAACGTGGGTCGAGCCATTGGCGCCCTTGCCTCGCGATTGTTCGCGAAGTTGCTGTATGAGCTTGAGAGACAGCGATCGACCGGTACCCTCGTAACCGTTGATTGTCGACGCCATGAAGACAAGGTATGGACCCATGAGTTTTCGCACTAGTGGCAGAGGAATAGCTGCAGCCTCGTCAATCACCAACAACTCTGCTTGACCTAGAACATGCGAGTCTTCGGGCTTGATGTATTGAATCACCTGTCGATGCTGGCGATGCAATTCGATCCTTACAGTGGCCTTGTTCTGGTCGGGTTGAGTGGACTGCATGATGGTGTAGTCTTGATGATCTACGTAGTTGAGCGAATCAAAGCCCTTGAGAATGAACTCGAACAGAGTCTTCAAGTTCTCTGGACTTGGAGATGTGATGTAGATGTTGCTGTAGCCGTGCGCAACAGCGGCCGCTACAGCCACACCCAAAGCTGCTGATTTACCACGTCCACGGGCTGCTGTTAGCGTGACCGTACTTCGCAGGGTCTTCTCGACAATGGCCTCGACGAATGTCAGCAGGGCCTTTGCTTGATCTACAGTCTTCGCAAGTTTGACGAGATCTCCGGTAGGGGGCGAGTCCGCCAACGATTCTTTAATCTCTGCCAGCTCCTTCGCCTTTGGTGTCTTGCCCTCTAGCTCTGGGTCTGGTGGCGGTAATTGCTTGACATGCTTTCCGCCCGAAATCGGAAGCACATTAAGCTCGTCGTCGACAACCAAGCAACTGTCGCATTTTCCAAGTGATAGCAAGAAACGCTCGTTGAAGCGCGCAACGACGTCACTGTGCGCCTCTGTCCGGTATCTCGAGTGAATGTCCATGGACATTGTGTATAGCTGCTTCAAGCTGGTCATGCCCTTCAACAGAAGTATGACCAGTCCTCCACCCTCGACCGTCTCTATAGTTCGCGCGAGGAGGTTGGGCGTAAGCGCTTCAAAGTCCTGCAGAATACACATGCCGTATGTGTTACCTAGAATCTTTTCCGTCTCTTTGTAGTAGACATATCGGATGTTCTGCGTCGAGATGAAAAGTTCGAATGGGTCCTCGGTATCGATATCGCGTATCCCCCGCTTGATTTCGTTCTTGATTTTCTTTTCGCGCTTCTTGCGGTGACTGGAAAACCCTAATAGCTTGTTCTTGTATGCCCATAGGACCGACTTGTTCAACTTGACGTCGACGTTGAGCAGGATGTGGTAGAGGTTGACAATGACGTCCTTTTGGCGATCGCCAACAACGACGAAGAAGCTGCGCTTCTTTTCCTGTGCGCCATTGCGGATCAGCGCTGGTATGCGCGAGTCGATGGCTTTCTTCGGCATGTCGAGAGCTGCGCAGGCGTGGGCGCCTCTGCTTCCGTAGTCGATCTTACTTGGTGGCGCAGGCAATCGTGTAGCAGGAAACGAGTCGCTGGGTTCTTATTAGGGGTCGACAGGCCACGATGCCTTCTGCACTTGTTGTGGTGGGATTGGCGGCGCGTGGGAGCAAAAGTTCTGGCCGCCGAGGAAGCTTCAAGGTTCCGAGAAAATAATTGTTATCGATAACAGAATCGCGCTAAGGTCGCATCCTTCACGTGCACTAGGTACAATCTAATCTCATTGAGCTTTTTGATCAAAATGCTATCATGCCATTGAATATCAACGCTGAGACTATGTGATTTCATATGCCACCTTGTGCATGTATGAATGAATTCATGGTCAGACTAGTCTCATTCCTCCTTTGTCGCCTTCTCACTCTCCGTGTACTTTTCCAATCCCACATGTTCATTGATCCAGTCCAGTACAACCTCGTGCCACATCAAACTGTTCTCTGGTTTTAGAACCCAGTGGTTTTCATCCGGGAACGTCAAGAACTGGCTTTCTATCCCCTTGCTCTGCAGGACATTGAATGCTGCCAGCCCCTCACTAATTGTCAGTCTGTAATCCAGCTCACTGTGGATCACGAGCTGTGGGGTAGCCCAATTCTTTGTGTAACTGTGGGATAGTATAATTAGCAATCAATCTCGTTTGAATAAAACCAGGTAACGTACTTGCTAGGATCCCACTTCGCCCAGCTCTCAGGGCTGTTCCAGAGTGTGCCTTTGAGATCATGGAAGGGAAAGTAGAGCTCTTCAGAGGCCATCTGGCCGTGCATACTGAAGACACCATCGTGAGTTACAAGAGCCTTGAATTTGCGACCAAGAGGATGGCCTTGAATCCAGTTCATCATGTAACCGCCGTACGAAGCACCGAGAGCAACGGCACGGTCTGTATCGACATAGCTGATGTTAGATTTGATATACTCAAATCCTAGTTCGAGATCTTGGTAGGGTAGACCGCCCCATTGTCCTTGGATGGCATCGGTAAAGTCTTGGCCGTAACTTGTGCTGCCTGTAGGGTTTGGACAGATAACGACGTAGCCCTGCTCTGCAAATACGGCGGGATTCCACCGCGTGCTCCAACCATCGGTCCATGCGCCTTGTGGTCCACCATGGACGAGGTATGCGAGTGGGTACGTCTTCCCAGACGAAAAGTCGCTGGGCTTGACGACCCAAGCATGCACCTTGGTACCTGGCGCAGCGCCGTCCCAGTGGATCTCGTCGATTTGACGACGCGATAGCCCAAACATAGAGCCTGATCGTGTGTTGGAAGAAATATACTTGGTCGTGAGATGGTCGGGATCCGAGTCGTACGGCCGGTCTTCAGTAGGAAGATTGAAGACTTCGGTACTTTTGGAATGGGAAGCGAGCGGTACCAACGAGTACAAAGAGTTCTCGATCAAGCTATTTGATGTGACAAAGATGTCACCGCTCTTGAGAACCTGTGCACCACCGATAGTTCCGCCTTTCACAAGCAGAGATGGAAGAGGCTGCATGTCGCCACCTGGCTTTGGAGGCCCACTCCTGTATAGGTTACCGCGACCGTGTGACTCGGCCGTGAAGTACAGCTGCCAGTCGTCGGGACTCCACGCGATCGATTGCGGACTCCGATCCCACTTCCCCTTGCCGTCCTCCGAGGCATAGAGAAGAATAGCACCCGATGGGTTGTTGTAATCGTGGATGATAAATGCTTGGTTCTTGTCGGACTCATAACCGTCAGTCCTCATGGAGAGAAACGCGATCATCTTGCCAGAGTTGGACCAGACTGGCGAGGTACTTGCGCCCTCAAAGTCCTTGATCGTCGCCTTTTTGATTTCAGGAATGCTCTCCGAATGTAATCTGTCCCAAAAGTCCTCAGAAGCGGATACGTAAATATTTGTCTTGGTATGGGTGGCCGGGTTGAGATCAGGGTCCTTTGAGGTAAAGACAAGGCCATGCTTGGAGATGTCGAAGTGATCTTTGCCTCCGAATGGCTCAATAGGACTTTCCAACGATGTGCCCTTCAATGCGTTCTTCAGTGGGTGCTCCAACTCAAGAGCCTCTGAACTATCCGTCTTCTTCGGGGTCAGCTTGCCAAGCCATATCGCATTGCGATTCTCAGTCACATAGTGGTCCCAATGACGGACGAAGCCAGACTTGTATAGTTTGCCTGACGTATGCGATTTCTTGACTTTTTCTGGGTTGAAGAGCGTGCCATCTGGCTTGGCTTTGCCAACAAGTGCGAGTGCATATGTGCCATCACCGAGCGAGTAGACCTTGACATCGCTTACGGGACCCTCGATAGTACCAGCTGTGTATTTACTAACTACGAGTTAACAAACATGTTTATATTGCGGATATTTACTACATACCTCTTTTCAAAGTTATGTGGCGACCCGATGACAATGTTGGTAGTGCCATCATCTTTTGAATTCAGCAACAGCATCGCCTTATCATCAAGCCACGTAGGCTCGCTGTAGGACTTGTCATCCGTGACAAGGCTGGCCTGTTGGCTTTCAACATCCAGGATGCGAATCTCACCCTTCTTCGCGTGCTCGGAGAAACTGTACGTCGAAACCGAATACAGAATCTGCGACGCGCCGGAATTCGGGGCGCCTTCAGACCGCCGAGGTGCCTCGAGAAGCACTTTTGGCGTGAATTTGGAGGCCCGAATCGTCATGGTGGTGGTGGCCTGCGAAAATGAGGCGCCTTGACAGTGTGTTAGTACGAGATCCATGATGCAGATAATGTCTGATTTAAGCATTGGAAATGCGGCCAGCACATAGCTGCTCCCGTCGCTATGTACATGGCCACTCTGGAATAAGCAATGTGCAGGGATGCAGACCGCCACTTGAAGATGCAGATGGCTTGCATCGAATAAAGAGGGGTCAAACGAATAGCTTACTGTATGAGAGGTAGTTGAACGTCTGATTGATTTGCCTGAGGCCAGGAGCGACGAGTATGCAACAAACAGGAGAGAGCACCGTGGTAGATGTTGAACGTGGAACTAGGCGGATGCGGTTGGCCAACCCCTCACGCCAGCACCAGCCTCCCCACCGCTTTAGCGCCGCTCCTTGTGTCATCACTCACCGACGTTTGCGCTACCCCGCTTGTCACCCGGGTTATGGTGGTAAGACGAGGATTCCCGTGGAACCTCTGATTGTCATTGATTTTTTCAGAATATAATCTTTGTAACCCAAAAATTTCCTCAAAATCAATCAGTCCAAGGACAAAAAGTCCTGTGGCGCAGTGGTAGCGCGCCGTTCTTATAAGATTCGTCAGACTCTTATGACCTCATCCAGGTTATGCGGATGCCGTGGGTTCGAAGTAGGTTTCTCCCGCGATATCGATTGATTTCTTATACTAACATCTCCCCTAGCCCCACCAGGACTATATCTCCTCTTTTTGCTTTTTGCACCAGCACCTGGACTACGCCTAGCCTACGTCTTTTGTTTTTGCAGCATACCCACAGTGATGATAGATAGCCTGTGATGTGAGACGTTGATTTTTGGCCCACGTATGTGACTCAACAGAGCACTTGCATGAACCATGTACGGAGCGGCCAGAGTAGTGACTCGTGACTGCACAGTGATGGATCGACATTTGAATGTCACTCATTTGCAAGGCAGTCAAGAGAAAAGTCTATAGCAATGGATTGAATTCCTTAAAGGAGAGGAGTGAAAAAAAAGGCAGAAGAATAAGCAAGGATATCCGCTATGTCAAACCCGCTGAACCCCAAAACAACAAGAGCAAAACACTCCGTATGGTGATGCGCCACGCAGCACCAAATCATTATATACGCAAATCGTAACATTCATTAAGCAATCCAGGTGGGAGCGAACCGTGAAGTTGTGACGGCATGGATGGCATTAAACAGTTTCACTTATCCCGTGACAACTTTTTCTTTTTTTCGCTCTCGTTCCGCTCCTATTACTTCCAGATCTGCCACTTCTTTCTCTGCTTGGGCATTACGAAACTCTCTTGGCTCATTTCTTCGCCTTGCGAACCAAGGCCTTGGTGTGCACCGGGGCTCGGCTCGTCGTCGTCGTCGGCACTGTCAAGGCTGTCGTCGTCATCGTCGTCGTCATATGCCGCGCCGCCAAGGTATCTGTTTGCGGGTCCAACGCTGCCGTTGCGCTGGGGATATGTAGGGTATGTGGCCGCGGTCCTGTCGTAACCGCTTCGCTGTGGCTGGGCGGCGTAGTCTGCACGCTGAACTGGTTTTTCGTTGTACTCTGGATCAATCACTTGTCTGGGCGCCATGGCCGGGTGACTTTTCCCGTCGCGACCTCCGCTGCTGAAGTAGTCGACACCTGTTGTGTCTTGTCTAGCCTGAAGACCTTGTCCGTCGCGCGTGTATGGTGAGCCTGGGCCTGCACCAACAACGGCCGGATGTGGTGGGTACGACTCGCGCTTGGAGCGCTTTTGTGACGGTGTTGAGCCAATGCTGTAAGGACTCTGGCCTGCAGCACTGCTCACTGATCTCCTTGGGATCTTCAAGTCGGCATCCGGCTGTGTAGCAGGAAGTTGTGACTTGTGGGACGAGTTGCTATACGAAGGCTGTCTGCGGTTAGAAGGCGAGTGAGGTGGAAGCACAGTCGCTTGGGGCGCAGTTTGCACCACTTGGGGTTGTTGAGGTGCACTGGTATGTCTTCTATCAGTGAGATTGACCCACGCCGATGCCCTACTACTGGCGCTTGTGCTCGTGTCCAGACTCTGTCGTCCTGGGATCTGAACTGCTGGGGTATGAAACGCTCCGTCAGACTGAGCAGGGCCTACTGTCCGAGCTGTATTGGTATGGAATCCAGAGCTCAGAAGGTTCTCACGTCGAGTAGGGGCTATGACAGGGTTGCTAGAGTGGGCTGGTACAACGACGGGAGCCGAGCCTGAAGCCGTGGCAGTGGCCGAAGCAGACTCGCGTCGATTCCGTGACCCTAAACTTGGCATCACTATTCTGGGCCCAACTTTGTACTGTTGTCGTAGACGCTCTTCATCCTCGCTGGAGATTTCGCCGAGCTCGCTTCCACTTTCACTGCCTGAGACGGAGTTCCCATCATCGCCAATTGTGTCTTTTTGCTTTCGACGGAATGCACGGAAGAAATCTCCAGATTTACGCGGCTCCTTTTCTGTTTCGTCAGGCTCGGGTTCGACATAATCAAGAGCTGGCACAAGAAGTCGATATGGTGTTGTGATACCAGCTGGGTCATGCTGTGATACTTCGACGTTGAGACAAATATCAAGGCCGCCTTCGAGGTTGATAAACTCCTCCTGCTTCGTGCTCTTCCTACTGAGAACGCTGGGACGGCGTCGAAAAGCGGACAGCCGGTCCTGTGATAGGCTCCGGCGGCTCCGTGGAGGTGTTGCGCTTTCAGCAGTGCCTGGGCGGGAGCCATCCACTGATGGACGCCGACGGAACAGCGACGACAAGGAGTTGCGGCGAGAGCGAGTAGGCCTTTCCGGCTCCGAACGATCAGGCGAGAATGAGGACTGCGGCTGATAGTGGCCCACCTGTTCGTCATCGGCAGCAGCATAAGCGGGATTATTCCGATAAGAGACAGGAGGGGCACGTCGCCGCGCGGAAGGCCTGGTGTGTCCACTGAGTCTTCTCACCAACTGGCCAGGCGTGAAATCCGACAGCGATCTTCCTATGCCAGGGCCGTCTGGAGTGCCAGGCGGTGACGGTGTTGCCGACGGTGTAGATCCTGGCTTGTACTCTCGAATGCTGCACCAGTTTCGGTGGGGCAGCAGATGAGTGTTGTTTCGCTTTTTCCCATCCACGCCATGAGTGAACAGGGATATCATATCTTCATCCGTGTCCGAGTCTAAGTGGTGCACCTTGTTGCGTTTGTTGATAATATCCGCCATCACATCGGGAGGCGGCGTGTTGACTATGGCCGAGGAAATGACATTCGGCATGTACCTGTGGTCCTTGTCTTTTGGTATGTTGAGCTTCTTGTTGCTGTAGAATTGACCAACTGCCGCGAGATGGACGTCACCACCGAGTATAGTGACACGCACAGACTTGGTGGAAGCAATGTGTTGCAGCTCGCGAATGAACCAATTGCGCTCTTCCTTGTGGTGCTTTGCTGTCCAGTGGTCATCCAAGTCGTCGAGAATCTCTACACCTCCGTCAAACTTGTTCACGAAATTACCCAACATGCCAGTGCGCCCAAGGGCCTTGAGAGGATCCATCAGTCTGCTTGTCAGTATGTTCTCAAGAAAGTTCAATCGAGGGTAGGCGATGGGTACACCAAGCAGCACAATCAAGTGCTTGGTTTCGCCCTTGATGATCTCATCCTCAAGACGATCAAAGATGATGTCGTACGAGTCTTCGGTAAGAATCTCATCTCGTCGACGTTCTGTGCGGCAGTCAAGGCCAAGAAAAGCTACCGGTCGGCCGAGCCGCAGGAAGACGCTTCTGGAGCGCTCTTTGATGTAAGGACCAGGGCTTTTACCAAGCACCCACGAAGGCTCCGTCTTCTCCGTCTCGGCAGGTACGGATTGATGTTGGAAGAGCATGTAATACTTGAAGGCGACAGCACCGACCCCCGTGAACACTGGGGTCTGCATGAAGTGGTGAGGGTAAGATCCATAGCCCTGAGCGTGTTAGCATTTGCTTGTGTGGTGTGACGAAAAACACTTACATCGATGATGTCGTGGTCGTCCCAGATATTGACCATGGGAATCTGTGAATTGGCCATGCCGAACAAGCCCTGTGAGAACCACATCGAGTACCGATCTAGGTAGAATTGCTCGAGCTCGTTCTGCATCTCCTCTGAGAATGGTTGGTGGTGCTTGTGCATTGGATTCCTGTTCTCAGTCCATTGCCTAAACAGAGTTGTCTGCCTCATTGCGGCGTCGTTGTAAATCTGGTCTCCACCACCAATCATGACATGAAATGGACGGGTTTGGTGCGTGTTCAGGACGTCGCGCCACAGGGGGTCTGGGCCACAAAACTCATCCGGATCGACACTAGCGGAGAATCCGTTGCAGCTGTGAAACATGATATTCATAGATTCTCCCTTGGCAGGGACCCAGAATCCAATAGCCGGACCCTGGTTGATTTTGTAGGCGATGCGGGTCTGGCTAGCTCCAAGTTCGACTTCGATGTTGAAGCGCCAGAATGTCACACCTCGCTCAGCGTACAAACGAATACCAGGAAAGTCGCGCACTTTGCCCAGCTTTTCGCCGTCTCTTTTGTGGATACGGGTGGACTTAGCAGCCGTCCCATTGTGGGTGCTTCGAGATTGAGAGAACAGGCCTGTGCCATCTTCGATGCACGACAAGTCTTCATCCTCGGCGAGCTCATCGACAGGCTTGACGTACAGCGTTTTGCCCGTGCGTGACACTTTGGTCTGGCCTTCAATAGGATCGACGTACGATGGGTCGAGTTGGTCCTGGTCTACCTCTTGTGGTGGTGGCGGCAGGAGGTCCATTGGCTGCTTGAACAGCCGCAACGTCGGTGACTTGCTATATGAAGATCGAGAATCAACCGTCACAATCATGATGCTACCTCGCCAGATCTCTCGCTCTTGTCCTGGTTTGCTGCGGTCCTTGCGAAGGCCCGTGTAGCGCAGAAGCGGTCCACACTTGAGGTATAGTCGTGGGTTGAAAACAGTTGGCACGTGAGTATCGTCGGCATAGCCGTCGTACATGGGCTCAGCGTGATTGCTGCTAGCACGCCTCCGACGGTTCAATTTGGTTTCTTCCCACCATGCTTTGTTGCCACTGTTCGCTGTGACTGGTGCGTTCAAGTCAAGATCGTCAGCCGCAAGAGTGCCGACAGGGGCATCCTTCCATTCTTCAAGCATAGGTCCAGGCGTGTATATCCTCTCCGGCTCGCTGTGACTGCTGTGACCGCTGTTACCGCTGTGACGGCTGTGACGATTGCGAGATTGTTTCTCAGGATCGTGCGAATCCAGTTCCGACTCCGACTCGGAAAACACGACACTCTTTCGAGTGGTCTGAGGCACGGGGGGAATGATGACCGGAGTAGTCTTGGGCACGGGCGGTATGCGAGGCTTGGTTGGCGGGATATCAACCACCCGGGGCACACTCTTCCGGTCAATGGATTCTTGCTGCATTTCCATGTGTGCAGCCATGATGCCTCGACTGTCTCTCGATTCATGGCCTCTCTTGCTTTCTGAACGAGTCACTTCAGCTACAGTCGAGCTATCATCTACACCCATCAGACCAAGCCCTGCAGCATCCGACGCAGGCTTCTGGTCTCTCTGCGATGGAAGCGAGCTCCGATCGCTGTAGGTAGCACTTTGTGGAGAATTTCTGACTGGCTCCTTGCCTTTTAGACTGGTGCTTCGCGGAACAGCTTGTCCCCTCTGTGCTGGCATCTGCTGGGCAGGCTGGACCGCTCCGCCTTCTGATGCGGTGGGATCCCAAGGCTCGGTCAGATCATGAATGTACCCGTCGTCTGATTCCCACTGGGTTATCTGTGGCGACAGGTGCTTTTTCTCCGTGGGCATTGAAGCGTGGCGCTTGCTGCTACTCGCTCGGGTGGGTGTTCCGGGGGAACGATCTGGTGGGGAGACTGGTTGAGAGACAATTCGGTGCTGTTTCTGTGCAGCTTCTCGCGCCCGTCTTGCACGAGCTTCGGCCTCGATCTTCTCTTGGGCTGCCAGCTCGGCTTCGAATATCCTCGCTCTCCTCTCCTCTTTGCTAATGTCATCCAGCTTGCCTTCCAACTTCTGGAGCGGTGATCGGTCTGGCACCGAAGGTCCGCGCTGCGGGCCACGCCGCCCTGCGGCTCCTGCCAATGGCTCGACTGGCGCATATGGTGGCGACCGCAGGTTGTAGAGCCTGTCCGCAGCTGTCTGGATAGTGGCCTGCTGTCTGCTCGGGTTCAAGTGGATGGCTGGGTCGCGCGACCGCCCCGAGCCTGAACGTGCTGGTACTTTTACGCCTCTGGAGTATGGATCTTTGTACGATGAGGGTGGCGCGCGCGGCACGTCTGGCGCCGCCGGGATCGACTCGCCCATTGCGCCTGTGGTTGGGGGAAGAATAATCTTGCTGTTTCGCCGTCTCTGGCTGGTAGCGGTTGACGAGGCAGCGACAGGCCGCGCAGTGTTGCTGGGCATGGTGGTGGACATGGCGGGCACCGACTGGAATGGGTCGGCAGGCTGGGCATCGGTGGGACGGCGGTACGAGGTGCGCCTGGAGGCAGAGGCGTCCGGGGCATGGTGGAGAGTGGCATGGACGGGCGGCGAGGCGTACGGGGCGGCGTTGCTACTGTCTTCCATGTTGCGACGGGCTCATGGGGCGGGCGGTGTCGCTGAAGCAGGTGGGGGCGTTATGGCCGCCTTGAGCTCGACAGGAGGGACTGCAGGCGGCGAAAAGCTCTGGATGCAGGCAGCACTGCGACATGGACCCTTGGACAAGCGGCTCAACGGGTGCTATCACCTGGGAGAGCGACCTATGACCATTGCATGTGGCGGTGCGGGCGCAGGCACAGGTGCTGGTTGGCGGTCAGGCTGCGCAAAAAAAGTCGGGGCCCGGCGAGAAGCGCGATGACGACGAGGAGCCAGACAGACTACACGGAGATGCTATATACAAGGGAAGAGGCAGAGGCAGAGGGGCCCGGGTGCAGGGAGAAGGCCGACGTCCATGGCCAGCGCATCGCAGAAAATGGGTGGCGGGCGGTTGCGAAAGAGGATGGCTGGGCTGCGACACCACCACCACCACCACCATTGCCATTCCTGTTACCGTGGCGGCCATGTGCCTTTGCCGTGGCCCGCCCGCCACAGCAGCAGCCAGAGCAGCAGCAGCAGCAGCAGCAATGCCTGCCAACACGGCCGCCGCCTTGGCTGTGGCGCGGGAGCGGCTGCCTGGCCCGGAAGGGGGAAGGCGCCCTGGGGGAGGGGGGGGGGACCCTTGGGTCGGACCTGGCGTTTCATCCGCCGCGCCTGTCCTAGTAGGCCACCTACTGAGTACATACAACCACGGCGCGCCCGCCACAGCCTCTCTTCCACCCCTCGATAATCTCTCTGCCCGCCACACGCTGCTGCTCTCCTCTCTCTGCAGCATCCGGCGCCCATCCCGCTAATCCTTCCGCCCCCTTCAGTCCCCTAGCCCACTCGCGTAATATGGTTACCCAATCCAACTAAGCCCCATAATAGCCCATTCATCCCTACGCTCGCCGGACGATTAACGTATCCTCAACTCCGATCCCCCCAACCCCCCATATCCTCCCCCACGCTCCGGACTACAGTCGCGTACTGCTGGACAAGCCGATACCGGGGCCCCGAGTTTATGACTGCAGAGAGCCGCGCATAAATCCATTCTCTCGGCCTCTCCGCAATGCGCATCCACGCCTGGGGCCTGCTGTCGGCCTTGACGGCGCTCGCTGCTGCAGCGAGCCATCTGCCGCCTCGCAACTACACGAGCCACGACTATTATGCCATCCACGTATCACCATCCACGTCTCCTCACGACCTCGCTGCCCATCTGGGCTTGACGTACGAGGGCCCGCTCGGCTCGCTCGACGACCACCATGTCTTCAAGGGTCCCAAACACGAAAATGATATTGTCGACGACGCACAACAAGAGCTCAAGAGACGGCGACGCAAGCGCGAAGTCGGCCTCGAGCACCACCCGCTTGACGACATCCGCTTCACCCAGAAGCAAAAGCTGAAGCCGCGCCACTGGAAGCGCGGCATCATACCCAAGCAGCCAGCCCCAGCTGGACCCCCGGTCACGGAAGCCGTCGAGGCCCAGCGCGAGGTTGCCAAACAGCTGAAAATCAACGATCCCATATTCGAAGAGCAATGGCACATCTTCAATGTCAAGACACGTGGAAACGACGTCAACGTTTCAGGTGTGTGGCTGCAAGGCATCACCGGCGAGGGTGTTACTGCATGCGTGGTTGACGACGGCTTGGACTACAACAGCAACGACCTAAAGGACAACTTCTTTGCAGAGGGCTCCCACGACTACAACGACCACGAAGACCTGCCCACGCCCAAACTTTCCGACGACCGTCACGGCACAAGATGCGCTGGAGAGATTGCCGCGGCAAAGAACGACGTGTGCGGAGTTGGGCTTGCCTACGACGCAAAGATCTCAGGTGTGCGCATCCTCTCGGGCGACATTACAGACATGGACGAGGCACTCGCTATCAACTACGAGATGCAGAAGAACGACATCTACTCGTGCTCATGGGGTCCCCCTGATGATGGCCGGACCATGCAGGCACCAGGCATTCTCATCACCAAGGCTATGGTGAATGCTGTCCAGAAAGGTCGCGACGGCAAGGGCAACATCTACGTCTTCGCTGCGGGCAATGGCGCGGCTAGCGACGACAACTGCAACTTTGACGGTTACACCAACAGTATCTACAGCATCACGGTTGGTGCCCTCGACCAGAACAACCAGCACCCATACTACTCCGAGGCGTGCTCTGCCCAGCTTATTGTGACGTACAGCAGCGGTGGCGGTGAGGCTATCCACACGACCGACGTGGGCGTAAACAAGTGCACCAGCTCACACGGAGGCACATCTGCTGCTGGGCCCATTGGTGTCGGAGTGTATGCTCTGGTGTTGCAGGCCCGCCCCGAGTTGACGTGGCGCGATATGCAGTGGCTCACAGTCATGAGCGCTGTACCTTTTGACACCCCTAGCGACTGGACCAAGACATCTCTCGGCCGCATGTTCAGCCACCAGTTTGGTTACGGAAAGCTCGATGCTTATGCCATTGTGGAGCTCGCCAAGACGTGGGAGCTTGTCAAGCCTCAAGCATGGTTCTATTCGCCCTGGATGCATGTCCGCAAGGCAATCCCAGAGGGCGATCAGGGTCTCGCCAGCACTTTTGAAGTTACAAAAGAAATGCTCAAAGAGGCAAACCTTGAGCGTGTTGAGCACATCACTCTGACCATGAACATAGAGCATGACCGCCGCGGAGACCTCAGCGTCGAGTTGCGATCGCCGAGTGGCATGGTCTCGCACCTCTCTACGGCGCGCCGCGACGACGAGGCGCCTTATGGCTATATCGATTGGACCTTCATGTCGGTCGCTCACTGGGGCGAAAGCGCCGTCGGCAAGTGGACCGTCATTGTCAAAGACGTCAAAGCAGGCAATGACAAGACGGGTAACTTTACAGACTGGAGGCTGCGTCTCTGGGGCGAATGCATCGACGCATCCAAAGCCAAGCTGCTTCCCATGCCCGACGGCCACGAAGATGATGATCATGACAAGATTGAGGACCACCCGGCCATTACTACTAGCATTCCGGTGCCTTCTAGTACTGCACCTGCCATGACCTCTCTTCCCGATGACCACCCCGATCGTCCCGTTAACCAGAAACCCACTCCCACTCCTACTACGGCTGACAATGGTGTACAGAGTTCGGTTACCCCAACGCCTAGTGCAACGGAAACCGCAGCTCCAACCGAAAACTTCCTGCCCAGCCCCTTCCCCACGTTCGGTGTCTCCAAGCGCACGCAGATCTGGATCTACGGTGCTCTTTCTCTCATTCTGGTCTTCATTGTCGGTCTCTGCACATACCTATTTATCGCCAGACGCAAGCGTATGAAGGACTCGCGCGACGCATACGAGTTCGAGGTGCTGGACGGCGAAGAGGACAGGGACGACCAGGGTTTGCTTTCCGGCGCTGGTGCTGGAGGCAGGAAGAAGCGCACCAAGAGGGGTGGCGAGCTATACGATGCCTTTGCCGGCGAGTCTGATGAGGACTTGCTGAGTGACGATGAGGGAGATGAAGGCCCGTATAGGGATCAGGAACGCTACAACGAAAAGTATGATCAGGATGAGGCTAGTGAAGAGGACGGAAGCGGCAGCGGTGCTAGCTCTTCTGGCAGGAAGCAGTAGGAATGTTTTTAGCCTTGGCATTGTTTTCCGCGGCGTCAATGTTATGCATTCTTCCTTCTGTGAATAGTTGGTCTTTTTGTCTGCGAATGCATTCTTGGGCGGCGTTTCCTTCGTTTTACATGGTTGTACAATATCCCCAAAGGTTTTGAAAGCAAGCCATATTTTTGCAATGCAGTCGCAGTCAGAGCAATGAAAAAAGGGGGGGGGGTATCATTATCTTTGCACAATAGACCATGTATGTTTTTGTTTTTCGCCCGCAACCACAAACAATAACAGCACGTTACTCTCTAAGCCACTTTTCGTCCGACATTGCCCACCCCCCTTCCTACTACGCTGACGACGATTTCTTCCTTGTCGCCGCCTGCTTCTCGGAATCCCCACGCGCTGCCTCCAAACACCTTGGAATCCCGGGCTAGTTGAATGATTTCCTCGCTTGCCAGGACGTCTTTGCCGAGAGCCACTCTGCCGACGTCCTCGCTGCCCATGGCCATGAGCATAAGCACCGTGGGAGCCGCCACGTTCTCGATACAGCCTCCTTGCGATATCTTCTCTAGCAGCTGGTACGCACACTGCTTTCCAATCTCGTCTGCAGGCACGCCGCCCTCAGGTGGTGAGCACACGTCGGCAGAGTAGATACATCCTGTGCTACTCTCGGCTACAAGACTGATTCCAAAGCCCACGGCTCCCTTTACTTTTCCCGAGCCATGGCCCTTTGCATTTGTAGGGATCAAAGGCGCGGGGCTTGCATCGGAGAAGATGTACGTGTCTGGTACGAATTTGTTCAGGATGCCTCTTGCGGTGAAGGTCATGCGCTCGTTGTTTGTCTTGGGCACTTCGACGCAGTACGCCACGCCACGGATTTTCTTGACTCGACCTGGATTCAGCAGGTGCAGTGTCTTGGGCAAGCGGACCTGGTGGTTGAACACGAGTTGCACCTCGCCGCCTGCGCCTTTGCCCCCTGCGGGGGCGCATGAGCGCCTGAGAATGCGCAGCTCCATATTGCGCTCAATGGCGAAATTCTTGTACAGCGGCAGAATAGCTGTGCGTACAGTGTCGGCGGAGACGTCGCCTGCGACCGTCGACGATGTCACGCAGCCCTCGCCGTGGAAAATAACGTTCATGTTGCCTTTGCTGAAGGGCGAGAGTATGCACAGCGGGATTAACCACCAGCTCACGCCCCGCTTTCTGCATTCTGCAGGTATCTCGTGTCGGATTACGCCTCCGCTTGCTCCTAGGCCTTCCGCCGAGCCAGTGATGAGTCCAGGACGGTAGACGAGCGTTGTGCCCGTCATGCTGAATTGTATCTGCGAGCCATTTGTCACCGAGTCGAGGAGTCGGATGAAGTTTGTCTCATGGCGAGTGAGACCCGGGTTGGTCGACGAGGAGCGAATTTGCGATATGCGAACCGGTCGGCCGGTGAGTGTTGCTAGCAGGAGACGGGAGATGAGATGTCGGTGGCCGGTAAAGTTTAGCGGTTGTTGGAGGGAGTCGTCTAGAGCCATTTTTCGGCGGTTGTGCGGCGGGCAAAGGCTTGTTGTGCGAGGGTAGAGTTTGAGATGCGCTGCGCTGCGATGCGATGCGATTGGAACTTTTTTTGGCCGAGCTTGACGATAAGATAAGACTAGCGCGAACGCGCGAACAGCGCGTCTCGCGTTGGACGAATCGTCCCGCATGCTTCCGTAAGAGCGCATAGTCGCCTTTGGAGGGGCCAGGACTAATCCCACTTTTATTTTCGCTGTCCACATCTTGAATGCGCTCGTTAGCAGGATTCATGTTACAATGGCGGGTCTGAGTAGAAATGGCGTTCGGCCGTTGCTCAAGACTGTCCGCGGGAAACGCCATGCGACCGACGATGATCACGAGCCGACGGCAAAGAGACAGGCGAACAGCGAAGCAGCAGCTCGAAAGCAACAGGAGGAAATTGACATTAATGCTGACCCAATCTCCTCGGATGATGAATTACGCGCACCTCCGCCCCGATCAACCAAGCCCGCGAAACCCAGTATACCCGCATCGAGTAGCGCAGACACGGAATTGAAGCGACCACAGAAGCCGGCCGTCAAGAAGAGCACGTCGATCCGAGCACCAGCAAGAGGGACATATCAAAGCAGTCAAGCACATAAAGCGGGCAACGGTCGAACTGACGACAAGGAGAATACTCCTACGTCTTCCAAGTCTGCTCCCAGTGGCCCAATTCAGTGGGGCATGGAGCATGTTTCGCAGAAGACGAGCAAAAATGCCAAAGGATACGGTTCCAAGACCAAGAACATACATGCGGCAGTACCAAAGAAATTTGGCAAAAGAGCAATAATGAGCGCTGCCCCGTCTTACGGATCACCAAACCAGTCCAAGAGCAAGCAGCCGCCTCCGGACTCGGAAAGCGACTCGGAAGTCTCCATGTTAGATGACGATGAGCTTGAGAAGCTCGCAGAAGAAGTGAATGGCGCAGAAATGTCTGAAGACACCGAATTGCGAAGAGTAGGCAGTAAGCCGAAACGAACACAGACGGATAGCAAGAACGCTAAAGCCGCTCCTCTGGATGACGATGAACTATCTGATGTCCTGGACTCAATATCCAAGAACACGGCTTCACGAAAGTCGAAAAACTCTGCAAAAACAGCCCAGCTCTTCAACCAACTCAGCTCCTGGAAAGAGAGCCAAGACATATCCTCTTCGCAGCCCGACTCGAGCGCAGCACAGGAACACCTCGACGACGTGAGCAACTACATTGAGCGGCTGCCTCAAATCGAAGAAGAAGGCTCACGCTGCACGCTCTGCAACGAAGCCGTCAACACGACCGACTACTGGGCCTTCTGGAAAGGCAAGCCCAAAACCGTAAAGCACAAATCCGCCTTCTGCCACCTCCACAAGAAGCTCTCCGCGCAGCTCGCCTACGAGCAAGCCGGGTACCCATGCGTCGACTGGAAAACGCTTCCACGGCGCCTCCGCAGACACAAAGCCACCTTAACCCAGATCCTGCACAACGAGCGGCCCAGCACCCACCGCGCGCGCTACGAGCCCCTCGCGCTGACAGGCAAAGCCGCCGCCGTGCCCTCAACCCGAACGGACCTGTCCCACGCCAAACAGCAGGAACTAGCTTCCTATGCGCTCGACGAGCGCGCCGCATACCCGGGCTACTACGGGCCCCACGGCCGCCGCCTCATCACAGAAAACATCATGGACCTGCTCAAAACAGACATCAAGGCGTGCGCCGACAGCGTCGTCCAGGCCTCGGGCATCGCCGCCTTCGTCCAGGCGGTGCTCGTGCCTGAAGCCGCCGTTCTGCTCATCATGCAGGACTGCGGTGTCGATGCGCTGGAGGCCGAGCGCATTCGATCAGACACGTATGATATGGGCTTGCTTTTGCACGAGGAGATTGAGGACGAGGTGCTCAGGAGGCCCGAGGATGAGACCGATGATGAGACGGAATATTAGCTTTGCCCCCCCCCTTTTTTTTTTCTTTCTTTCTCTTCTTTCGCGAGGCTGGCACTGGGGATACATGGTACGAGTTATTTCTGGGTCTACGTGTGTGTGTGCATGAGTTAGTTCTTGTCATGTTTGCGTTGTTTCAGCGCTGGGGTCTTTTTTTTGTCGGCGGCTGCTGCTGCTGCTGCTGCTGATGGAGTGACATGTGTAAACGCTGTTGGTTTCTGATACCCGAAATAAATGCAGTTCTTTGAGGCTGTTGTTTCTTTTGCACTGCGCGTTGTCGTGTCTGCTGGGGCTCATGTAATATCATGATGCTGCCATGTTCTTCCTTCGTTTTCTCTTTCGTACATCTCCATAATTCCAGTACCCCCCGTTCGCACAAACGCTAGTTTGTCCACGCCTGCATAATGTCCCCTCTTACTTTCAACGTGTATGAAACGAAGCCCACTGGCCCACACATACCATACCATACGACAACACAAATACATGGAGACGCAACGGGTATATTCATTCCTAATCCCACTAGATGACTCCCAACATAGCTACGGATTGAGCCTCTAACGCTTTTGAACCTCTCCTCCCTCTGGTTTCACATTGTGCGATACAAAACGCCATTACTCCAGACACATGGTATTAATAGACTGACACATTTACCCATCGAGCACGCCGCTCTCCTTCAAGCTGCGGAACAGCTCGGGTTCCAAGAATTTGCTAATGGTAACGTCCTCGGCGAGGCCCTTTCTCCTTCGCGTCTTGAGCACAAAGTCGCGTGCTAATTGCTGTGCGGTTGCAGGCTCAAGCGGCCGGGTTGTAATGTCTTTGTCGAGAGGATCACCGGGAACAATGGACCAGCGGTCGAAGACAAGGGAAAGGGAGACTTGGCCTTGTGTGTGGATCTGCGTAGAGTTAGCGATTATTCAATCCAGGTGATGAGCATAGTGTGTATGTACCCTCAAATCGGTCTCGAAACCAAAAGAATCGATGACCGGAATAAGACCTCGCACATTGTAAAGCGGAGTACCTGCAATGGGCCCGTCTTGTAGAACATGCCCTCTCCTCCGTGCAAGGACCGTGTACAGACTGCTCTTAGTGTCGGCCGGGCCAATCATACTGCACGAGTATACTGGCTCCATCAATCTCGGACTCGCCATGAGGAACGATGAATAGCATGCTCGTCGGCTTGTGGGGATGATCTGGCCACCACCGCGGAAGATGGCTTCTGAAGCAAGGTCGACATCTGTAAGACGGAACTTGGTGTTGCGAATAGGCTCTTCGCAGAGCGGGCCTTCGCGAGTGGCCCAGCTGAAACCCTGTCGCAGGGTGTCTCGCACGGAGCGGAGAATCTTGCTGTCGACTTCTGAAGGAAGTGTGTCGTTTTGCAGGATGTTGGGGCCCATGTCGTCAGGTCCAAAAGCCCAAATGTTGCGTGATGCAAGCAGGTCGTAACCGTAGTTCTCCTCGAAAAACTTGCCGACGACACGGACAGGGTCCTTGATATTGACTTTGCCGGCCTCGATATCTTCAGCGATTCCTGGGTCTAGCGGCTCAGCAATCATGGTGAGTTTGTTCTTCTTGTTTGGTGTGGACGCATAGCATTTGATAGCAGACATCTCGACGACTGTCTCACAGAACCGTGTGACTGGATCAGAGACCTTGATCTCCATGTCAGCATACAGTCTTCGGAGGTCGTGCAGCACACAGTCCATGTAAAGCTCGCCAGTACCGAGGACAACGTGCTCTCCCGACTCTTCGACCTTGGTTGTGATGAGCGGGTATGATTTGTTGATCTTCCGGAGACCGTCAAGCATCTTTGGGAGCTCCGAGGGGTTGATGGGTTCGACAGCGACCTTGAAGACGGACTCGAAAAAGTGTCGAATAGGCTTGAAAATGTAGGCATCCTCTTCTTCTGGAAGCTTGGTTGCTACAATTGTGGCTGTTTTGACTATTGAGTTGTCGACACCGCCGAGGAGAACCCAGTTGCCTGCCGGCACGCCGCTGACGGGGATGTTGTACCTTGATTGAGCTATCCAGGTGTCGGATACAGTTGCAACAACCATGTCTTCCTCATCTTCGATTGTATAGCCTTCACCAAGTACGCGCACCGACTGTGGCCAGGTTGCTGTTCCGCTCATCACTCGACCTAGGGCAGTGAACGACTTTGCGTCGGTGGCATTAAAGAGTTTTGTGATGTGTATGACAAGGGGTCCGTTCTGATCGCATTTCTGCATCGCCTCGGCAGTCTTGGTATCCAGCGGTCCAGTGTAGTGTTTTTGGAGAAGGCGTTGCGCACCTTCCTCGGGCGACGGAACGTGCTGCAGGACCATGTCGACGAAACCCAGGGCCGGACCAAAGTACTGCTGGCACACTAGGCGCATGAGTTCTTTTGCATCTGCCTTGTATTCGGATGGCTTCAGCCGTATGCCCAGAGCCTCTAGTGTATCCTTGAGGTCATCGGGACTTTGGCTGAGCGTGTGCGAGTAGATCTTGTAGACGGGCTCCAGGATCCAGTGCACAAACGACCGTTGCGAGCCCTCCTCTTGGCGCTTGCGACTGAACTTGCGGCTTCCTGGGTTGTAGAATATGTCGCCCCAAAGGCGCATGGCGAACTTGTCGATATCGAGTCCTTTCATGGGAACGCCGAAGCCTGGCAGCTTGGACGGGCCGGGGTAAAAGTCGGAGTACATTTTGGCAAACGACTGGATGGTAAAACACCATCGCATGCTGGAGCAGGCGAACGCGACATTGCCTTTTTCAGGGCTTACACGCCGGCTCTCGCCACGCCCTGGAATGGTGTTCTCGATGACGGTGTTGACCTCCTCGATTACGTGTTTGATCTTGAAGTATGCGTCGCTCGGCGGCAGCTTGAGCTCCAGGATCAGACGGTCCATCTTGTTGACTACCAGCGTGAGCGGCAAGTCTTCCAGTACCGCGTGTTTGATGATCTGCTCCGTGTTGACCTGCACGCCCTCGACCACGTCCACCACCAGAACCACTCCGTCGACGAGGCGTAATGAGGCGGCGACTTCATCGGCGAAGTTGACGTGTCCGGGCGTGTCGAGGATGTTGAAGAGATGCGACTTTGACTTTGTGTTCTGCAGCACCAGGCTCATGGGCGCCGCCTTGATTGAGAGGCCGCGCTCGCGCTCAAGCACGTGTACGTCGGTGTAGCGCAGCTGCTCCTCGCGCTTCTTCCCCCTCTTGTAGTCCAGGCGATCCTGGATGTCGTGTGTCTCCATGACCAACATGTCCATAAAGGCAGTCTTTCCATGGTGCAGGTGCCCGGCGATGGCAATGTTTCGTATCTGGCCGGGAAAGTTCATCAGGTCGGTGAGGAGCTCTCGCGAATGGTGGACGGGAGCGCCCGGCTCCCATTGGCCCGCCCCGCCCCGCCCGCCCTCACCGCCTACGCTAGCCCGCCAACCGCGGAGCCAGCCTTTTCGCGACGCCGTGAACTTTTGCGTGAGAGAGCTTGCATCCTGTCCTGCTCGTCTGCCCCGAGCTGCTCCCCCCGCCCCTCCCCCCCACGCCCAACGCTGCCACCATGGACGACCTTTACGACGAGTATGCGCGCCTTTTATCTCCCCCCCTTCTGCCTGGCCCACGTGACTGACTCGACGCAGGTTCGGAAACTTCATTGGCGAAGCCGAGTCGGACGAGGACGTCCAGAGCACTGGCGACGCTGCCGACGCCTATGTCCTCGACGATGACGCCGATGCCGACGCGCGCGACAATGACCAGCAGCTCATGGAGGTCGACGACGGCCCCTCCAATGCCGTTGTCCTGCACGAGGACAAGCAGTACTACCCGTCTGCCTCAGACGTATACGGCCCCGATGTCGAGGTGCTGGTCCACGAGGAAGACACGCAGTCGCTGGCCCAGCCCATTATCGCCCCCGTCGTCCAGAAGAAGTTCACCATCCAGGAGGCCGACCTGCTGCCATGCTGCAGGCACGCGGTGGGTCTATCTGCATCCGTTGTCGTGACGCGCTAGGCCTGAAACGGGTTGCCCTCTGATACTTACTCGACAGCTCAAACTTTCCTGCTACTCTTCTGCTGCTCTTCTGCTGCCCGTCTGCTGCTATATATTCGCCTCCTCGCCTGCTTTTTCCTGTTCCTCCAAGATACCCCGCCATGTCGTCGCTCCCGCCCGTTTACATTGTCTCAGCCGCCCGCACGCCCACGGGCATGTTCTTGGGGTAAGTTTCCCCCGCCGCTACAACACACGAGGGGCCACACACAACTCACACACACTACAGCTCCCTCTCGAGCCTGAGCGCTGTCCAGCTGGGCTCGCATGCCATCAAGGGTACGTCCGTCTTGCTCGAGTGCCGCATACGCCTCAATTGTCTGGCTGACCTTTCCTCGCAGCTGCTGTTGAGCGTGCCGGCATAAAATCCACCGACGTTGAGGAGGTCTTCGTCGGCAATGTCCTATCTGCAAAGTAAGTCATGCCATTGTCGGGGCATTTTACGCTCACACCCCTGCTAACACGCTCCTCCCAGCCTTGGCCAGAACCCCGCCCGCCAGTGTGCCATTGGCGCTGGCCTCCCAGAATCTACCGTAGCCACCACCATCAACAAGGTGTGCGCCTCGTCTATCAAGGCGCTCATTGTCGGCGCCCAGACAATCATCACCGGCAATGCCCAAATCGTCGTCGCCGCCGGCACCGAGAGCATGTCCAACACGCCCCACTACCTCCCTAACATGCGCAATGGCGCAAAGTTCGGAGACCAGTCGCTGGTTGATGGTGTGCTCAAGGACGGCCTGACAGACGCATACAAGAAGGAGCACATGGGGCTCCAGGGAGAGGAGTGCGCTGGCGACCACGGCTTCACGCGTGAGGACCAGGACGAGTACTGCATCCGCTCGTACAAGAAGGCCAATGCCGCCCAGGAGGCTGGCTGGTTCAAGGAGGAGATTGCCCCCATTGAGGTGGCCCAAGGGCGCGGCAAGCCTCCAGTCGTTGTCGACGCTGACGACGAGCCCAAGAACGTAAGCCATTGAGGTTTCCTAGGTGTTGACTAATCGACCAATGCATGTGGCTAACCATGTACAGTTCAACGAATCCAAGACGCGTACGCTGAGGCCCGTGTTCAAGCCCAAGGACGGAACCGTGACTGCTGCCAACGCGTCACCACTCTCTGATGGGGCTGCTGCCCTTGTCCTCGCTTCGGAAGAGGCTGTCAAGAAGCACGGCCTCAAGCCGATTGCGAAGATTCTCGGATGGGGTGACGCTGAGCAGAACCCCTCCAAGTTCACCACGGCCCCCGCCCTCGCCATGCCCAAGGCGCTGAAGCACGCCAACGTGGAGCTGTCGGCTGTCGACGCTTTTGAGATCAACGAGGCGTTTAGTGTTGTTGCCCTGGCCAACATGAAGATCCTGGGCATTTCGGAAGACAAGGTCAACCTCCACGGCGGTGCCGTTGCGCTGGGCCACGCGCTCGGAGCGTCGGGGGCCAGGATCACAACGACCCTGCTCGGTGTGCTCAAGGAGAAGAAGGGCAAGATTGGCTGCGCCGGCATCTGCAATGGCGGCGGTGGTGCCTCTGCCATTGTTGTCGAGTCGCTGCAGTAGATGTGTTGTGTCCGTAGCCACGACGCCTCATGTTCAAACGAAATAAATCTTAATTATACCCATGCACGCACACGTAGGCGACAGTATGCCAGATTGCCAGTCCCATACACGACGTGTTCTGAGTATTGGTCTGGGCCCGGTGATTGGCTGGACGGCGGGTTTCATGCGAGTGGAACTGGTTTCCTCGCCTCCAAAGCGCTAGCACGAGCCGCCAGCATTGGCTCGCAGCCGCCATTGTGCATGCCCCAATCCGACGACCCTCCGGTTTCAAAACCACGACAGCGAATCACGAAGCCACCGCACAGGAAATGCCGCATGCAATCGATAACGATGCCGCTTCTCCCAGGGATGCGCCGCTGTGCCTGTTTCATGCACCACTGCGCCTTCACCATCAGGCCCATCCGCCCATTTCCCATGAAACAGCCCGTGTCTGGTTAAACATCCGGCCAGCCTCGTCCAGCGCTACACCGTCGCCACCTTGGCCACCTGACTGGCTCCTGCAGCGTGCCTGAGGGATGCCCGCGGGGGAGAAACAAGGCCACTGTGCAAATCTCCTACCGTTGAAACCAAACCCATGTGCCCTAGCGGGAGATGTTCATTGTCCCCGGGCCCACCACGTCTATCTGCCAACCCACCCATGGCAAGGCGAACCGATGCCTGCTATAGCCAGGGTGCCACTATGCCCGCGTTTTGCGTAATCTCACGTATATAGCTAGGTCCTGTCAGTTCAGCCGCCTGGTGCCTGGTCCCTCTCGCCGTCCCGTATCGCCGTTTTTTCACTTCGTGTGACCGCCTTCTTTTCTTTGCGCGTCCAGTACGCAGTCACTCCTTTCTTGGTTCGTTACCTTTGGCCATCTTGACGATGCGTTTCTCCACACTCACTTTGGCTGCGGCCTTTTCCCAACTGAGCATAGCTGGCTATGTTCTCCAGGACGATTACATGAAGGACTTTTACGGTTCTTTTGACTTCTTCACTGCCCCTGATCCGACCGAGGGCTTTGTCAAGTATGTCGACGAGAACACGGCAAGGCAATCAAACCTCATCAACACCTCTATCACTGCAGGCGCATCTTGGGGCGTAGACTTCCAAAACCAAACTCCACAGGGACGGCCGAGTGTTCGAATTACAAGCAAGAAGTCATACGACAGTGGCTTGATTGTCTTGGATGTCGCGCACATGCCTGTTGGCTGTGGCACGTGGCCAGCGTAAGTACATGGACGTGTTTTTCTTTGTGCAAGACGCTTACTATTTATAGATTCTGGACAACTGGTCCCAGCTGGCCCAGCAATGGCGAGATTGACATTATCGAAGGTGTCAATGACCAGGTAACCAATGCCATGACGCTTCACACCGGGCCTGGTTGCCAGATTGGTTCGGACAACAGCCTCTTCCAGGGTTCTGTTACTACTAGCAACTGTTACGTCAAGGCCAAGGGACAGAAAGACAATGCGGGATGTTCCATTGAGGATCCATCGACAAAAAGCTATGGTGCGGGTCTGAACGCCAATGGCGGAGGCGTATTTGCGACTCAGTGGACTGCCGACGCTATCAGTGTTTACTTCTTCCCGCGCGGCTCGGTTCCGGCAGATGTTCTTGGTAGCAACCCTGATCCCAGCGGCTGGGGAAAACCGTCTGCTAGTTTCCAGGGTGGCTGTGACATTGCAAAAACATTCAAGAAGCAACAAATCGTCTTTGACACGACATTCTGCGGTATATGGGCGGGTAATTCCAGTGTATGGCAGAACAGCACTTGCAGCAAGAAGGCCGCTACATGCCAGGAATGGGTACAGAACAACCCTGAGGCTTTCAAGGATGCGTACTGGACTGTCAACTCTCTGAAGGTCTACCAGGACAATGGCCAAGCATCTCCTTCAAAGCCTTCATCGGCACCTCAGCAGAGCAGCATTGCTTATTTGCCTCAGCCTATCTCCAGCCAGACGCCTATCGTGTCTCCTCCGAAGCCCTCACCACCCCTCCAGCAGACCAGCCTTGCTTATTTACCTAAGCCTATTCCAACCCAAAAGCCTACCATACCTCGTCCATTTCCTGGGCCACCCGCCGACTCTGTTCAGCCGACTTCGCTTATCGTCCCCTCTGTTTCTGGCATCTTTGCCCCAATTCCCACCAGCGAGACCCTTTCTGCTCCAAGCCCTCCTGCCCAGATACCCTCTTCTCCCGGAACACAAGTTGGAGCAGTGCCTGCGCCATCCCCGGACGTCGGAGCCCCTGCACCACCCTCAGTAGGCGCAGGCGGCATGCATGGTTTCCAATGGCCCAAGGCCGGTGCGGGTGGTTCTAACAACAGCAAGCCAACCACGGCACCTGTCGCCTCGCCTCCTCAGAACACCGGCGTCCCAGCCCAAACCGCAAGCGGCAGTCCTGCTGCTCCCAGTCCAACACAAAGCATTGCACAGCCATCCAACCCTGCGGTCGCCCCCGCAGTCCCAGTCCCGTCCCCGGCCCCCACGGCTGCTCTCAACACTCCTGCTCCTGTAGCCGCCCCAGCCGTTCCCGTCGTCACAGACGTAGTCGAGTCGCTCCAAATCGTCTACGAAACCGTCTACACTACAGTTACAGCTAGCGCCCCCGCCGCGTCACCGCCTCCTGTCGCCAGAAACCTGCGCATGGCCCGATCCATCAGAGAGCACAGGCAACGCCTTACAAAGCACCATGCCAAGTTCTAAACTCGTATGCATTGGCGGCATAAACCCAACTCCCAGTCTTTACTCAGACGGAACTTGCGCAACCAAAAAAGTCAACACTGGCTGTTGACTCTTGTTCTTTCTATTGTTCTTTTTCTTAACGTCCTTCCTTTCTTTCTTGTTTGCTTCCTTCCTTCTCCAATAGGGCATGTCGCGTACACACAAGTACATACATGCATATATCTATATACCCCGGATGACCCCCTCTTCTTTGTATATATTCTTCTTCTTCTTCTTTTCTCGCAAACTAGATAGCTAGCTGCAATACACCACCATTTGATGTGTTTTTGCCATTGACGTTTCCCTCTGCTTTTCCACCCGTCTCTTTTTTTGTTTGGTGCAACGTGTTAAAGTTATTGTCTGATGTGTACACGCGAATGGTTGGAAATGAAGCTAATTATTCTTAGCACAAAGGTCACGACGGACGCGAAGAAGCAAGCATCCATTCCACTTCTTTTTGCTCCATTAGACCAATCTTCCCTTTCTTCTACCTACCACGTCTAGTTTTCATTCTCTCATCTCCTCTCTCCTCCCCTCATAGGCCTGTTTGTTTGTCTCTTCTACCCTAACCAAAAAAAACACCCCCAACTTCTTCCATTACCCTCATCCTCTATCCGAAAACAGCAACTGCAAACAACGACCGTCCTTCTCTTCCTTCTCTGGAGTTCAAATGGAAGAGTATTCAATGCCTACAGCGGGGAAGGAAGTGCAAAAAGAAAAAAACTGTGGACGCTGTGGGAATTGAACCCACGACCTTTCACAAGTACGCATTGGAAATATGCGAAGCGAAAATCATACCCCTAGACCAAGCGCCCGAGTTTATGAAATTGATGGAAAGAATTTGAAAAGGCAAAAATATATAGTGATGAAAACTAGTCTGAGGAAGGGCTAGTGGAGTGGGGTATCGTGATCTTGGGGAGTGAGGGGCTGGTCGGATGGAACAAGGATTTTGTGTGGGTGGGGTGAGGTGAGGTGGGGTAATTACTCGAAGGAGGGGTGTGGTGTGAGGTTTAGCGCGCGCATGCAGTGGAAGCGGGTCAATTCACCATAAGACATCTCCTTCACAGTTGAAATCTCACATGTGGCATTTTACAACTACATCGAGATAAACCCATTAACTACCCACAGGAATCCCTAGTCAACCCAACACCAACCCCGATAAACGCCACTACGAAGTAAAACCCAGTCTGTTTAGCACAAACAACTGACTTCCTGCGTCATTCCCTGCTTCAACAGTGCTTCTTGTTCTCCCCTAAACATACTTCCCACTTGAGTAATGCCTACACGCCGGAAAACGCGGTAGACACTTCCCTGCTTCCCTGGCGTATTTGGCGGGACTGAAACGCGGCCTTCGCATTTGAGCAACAAGCAGTACAAGTAGCGATCTGAGCTTCTAACAGTCCGCATCCCAAACGCAGCTGGCATGCAGTACAACTCGGCAGTTGGGGCAAAGACATCGGCATCAGAATCCGGGGCATCGAGGTAGCTATTTTCATACTCAATTGGCCGCTTGGTCTGCTGCACCGGCGGCTTCAAGTGCCATATATACGGAACTCCGTGGCTAGGGCTTTGCTTACGCAGTTCAATGCGGTGGAGGTGGCGGGGTGCAAGGAAGATGCGGCCAGCGGTCACCATTCCAAAGGGGTTCTTTGGGTCAGCGAGGGAGATTTTATAATCCACGACTTTGAAAAGGAGTTCGTCGCGCGGTCTTGCCTGTCCGCTTTGTGGAGTCTTGAAGTCTGTGACATCGCCATAGGTGATGCCATGTGGACTTTCGATAGCGGCCCATGACCATGAGGGACCGCCTTCTGAATGCCGTTTACCAGGGTTGTCGTATAAACCATTTCCATTGTATACATCGTTTACCTGCCATAGTAGCTGGCTTTCAATGTATCGGCTCCATAGTCCAGCGACGTAGATCTGTCTGCAGTCCACACCAAAGAGGTCTTCTTGGAAGAGTTTCGCAATACCGCCGAGTGCAATCAGCCTATCCTTATGCTGCGTAAGCGCTGTTTGGGAGTAGCTTTCCACAGTCTTCTTCCACAGTTCGTAGATGTACAGGTCTCTGATGTGCTGATCGGGGTCGGACATACCGCTCAATCGTGCTTCGCGGAGTGAGCGCCCCATAGCGGGTGTTAGGTGCTTCAAGCGAGCATCCTGAATGAAGCCGTTGGTACGGGATGGCTTGATGCCTAGCTCGTTTGAAGTATGGCTCTCGCTCATGTTGAACTCGCGACACTCCCAGGCAAGCTGGTTGTAGCCAAAGTGAAGGACGCGCGGCGCTAGTAAGCGCTCTTGGAAGACCCAGGCTCTTTGGTTGACCGGTGCGTACTCAACGAGGTCGTCCCACGTAGACGTATCGATGAGCGAGCATTTTGCGTATACATCTCTTTCTGGAGGGCCATTTTTCGATACTGATGGGCGTTCCTCGGGGCAATACACATAGACGTTGTTTTCCCAGAGATGCGCAGGGCGTTCGTTGAAAAACAAGCCTCCTTGGCCGTCTTTTGAGGCTGTAGCGGAGATGTTCAGAAAGGCCTTTTGATACACAGCTCCCATATGACGGCTTTGCTCAAACCAATCTCTTTCCTCCTCCGCTTTATTTCTACCTTCTTTCAAGATGGGTTGGCGGATGCAGAGAGAGTCGATCCATATGAAGCCAACTCTGTCTAGTCGTGCAGCGAACATGACGGCGTCGCGAAATGTTTTGGGGAGCTCATGCAGTCTGATGCCTTCATTCTTGAAGCGCTTCTCGGTTTCGAAAGTCAATTTCAGTGGTGGTGGTAAGTTGGGGCCTGGCTTGCCCCAGCAGTGGCTCAAGGTCACGTAGCGGTCGTTTTGGCGTTTGGCTGGGGCATGATGGAATATGCTGCGCTTTTCTGGTTGACCCAGGCATTCTTTAGACTCTACCAAGCGCACTCTTGCTCGTTGAGGATCCTGAGGATTTGCACGCAACTCTTGCAAGTCCAATAGACGGCGAGGGTACCATTTCACGCCGGGCTCGTCCCAGAATTTGGCGCACTTGCAGTGGTTCATCCAACCTTGTGCTGTTTCTACGACGTCTTTCAATGTATGATTTCGAGGAGCGGAGGATGCTTTTTGGTCTTTGGATGTTAGACTCGTATTGAATAATTTCTTTCGAGATTATTTACCTGTTTCTTCCAAGAAAAAGGTGCATTCACGGTTCGGGTGGAGAAAAAAGATCAATTTGAAACAGCGTTTGCCCGTCTCCTTGCCATAGCCTCTTTCTCTGTTGAGTGTTGCTTGGACAGACAATCCTTGGTCTTTTGCAAGATCAGTATGTAGACTTAGTGTCTTGGCCAGTCTTGTACAGACTGGACACTGCATATCTCGTGAATGTCGGAGTGTTTTCGTGGATTTGTGGTGCTCGAAGGTAGGTTGAAGGGTGCCATGCATCACCAGACCTTTACGCTGGCTAAGCATGCCAATACACACATCGCAAAGCATGGCGAAGTGTTGTAGATATCCGTGTTTGAATTGATTGTTTAAATTCTGTAGCAAAGGCAAAATAACCTGACGAAAAGCTGCCTGTTTATTTATCCGTATCCCTTCGTCTAACCGCCGCGTGCGGCACAGCACTCTGAGTTCGCTAAAGACCGTGAAACGTGGTTGATAGTGTGGGTGGTCAATGCGTGCAACGGGTCAGACAATGCAACACCCCCTGCATCTCCCAAAGTAGAACCCACCAATTTCAAATCCCCACAACTCCACCACCATGACAGCTATCGAAAAAGCGCTTGCGGCAATCAATTCGCAAGGTCTAGAAGGACAAATCTCGTACTATACAGCTGCAAAAATATATAGTGTTGCGGCATCAACTTTAACGCGTCGCCACCAAAACAAAACGCGGTCGCGTGCAGCCGCTGCACACCCACGACAACTACTCTCACCACAACAAGAGAAATACCTTGTCCAGCACATAGAAAAACTCTCTAAGCGTAGTACTCCACCGTCCCAAGAGATAATTAAAAAATATGTTACTAATATTATAAAAAGATAGCTATCTAACAGCTAGGTTACAAGATTTCTTTGGCAGAACAGAGAGAAAATTATTACTAGAAACACCGCTAGCATTGACTAAAACCGCAAAAAAGCTAATAATTTTAAAGATTACTATAATTACTTCTAACTACTTTACGATTATATCAAGAAATACAATATCTAGCCGCAAAATATCTATAATATAGACGAAAAGGGCTTTCTCCTTAGTGTCACTTTAAGGACCAAAAGGGTGTTCTCTAAGAGACTTTAGGATAAAAAGAAAGTTCGAGCAGCTGTTAGAGACGGCAGCAGGGAGTAGATAACAACTTTAGACTGTATTTGTGCTAACGGGAGCTAGATATCGCCTATAATAATCTTTAAAGGCAAAGCTGGACTTCGAAACAACTAGGTAGAGCACCTAGATCCTTCCCAACACTAGATGTTTTTTGCTACTAGCGACTTAGGCTAGAGTAACAATATCCTAGGGCTATCTTAGCTTAAGTAGGTGTTTTAGCGCCAAACGAAAGACAAAGCAAAGCGCGATTATTAGTTGCTAATCCTAGACGGTTATAGGAGTTATTAGACTCCAAGTTTTTAAGAGTTTTGTGACTCTAACAGGATTCTCCTAGCTACTCTTCCTCCCCACTTATCTCACTAACTTTAGCCACTTGACGTTGGCATGTTTAAGCCCCTCTTGAGCGCGTATACTAAAGAACTTAATAGTCTATCCTACTGTAGTTAAGGCTTAGTAGAGGTGCATAAAAGTGACTTTTTATAGTTATTTTAGGCGGCGTGGACACGGGCGTTCACGTCTAACAAGATACTAAGCTGTTTTTAAGCTACTAGCGTCCACCCGCAGGATAGTAATGCTGTGCTTAAACATCTTAAAAAGTCAACACTATAATAAGATATTAATCTAGAACTTAGAGAGCATAGTAATAGGGATACTACAAGAGAGCTGTCTAATTTTCTAGACAAAACTATAATAGGTTGTGCTAAAGTTATAGTCTTTGTAGTAAAAGACACTATTGCTTCACTCTAGGTCAACAACAAGATTTTGCACTACGAAAACACTAATCTACAAGAAGTACTTGCTATCAAAAATTATCTAAAGAAGCAAAAGAAGCCTCTAGAGCTCTAGCAAATCAAGCAGTATCATACTCCAGCGGTGGTGTGGAGTCCTAGGACAATAGAAGATGCAAGAGCTCAAGAACGTTAAAAAAAACACCAAGAAGAGCTTGAAAAACTCTAAAAAAAAAGAGAAACAACAGGAACGAGCTGCTAGTATAGCTCTACGAAAAAAATTAATAGACGAGGCAAGGACTGCGCAGGAGTTATAGAAAATAGCAAGGGATAAAGAGAGAGAAGTAAGGGCTAAAGAACTCTAGTTAAGACGCGCCTAAAAAGCTCGCGATCGCGTAGTCGCAACTTTAAAAAAAGCTTGCGATAAGCAAAATATACCTAAACGAAAAGCTTCATCGTCTCAAAAGTTAAAAAAGTCAAAGGGTGGTGGTGATGCAGGCAGCCAAAGTGGTGGTGCGTCTGCATCGTCGGCTGCGCAGCCCACCACCAAAACAACGATGCGCGGCCGCAACATCAAACTGCCAAAGAAATTTGAGTAGATAGGATTGTTTTTTAAACTATTTAGACTACTCTACTAAAAAATCTCGTGATAATAGCTTTTGTATGGTGCTCTATAGCCTCATTTTTGATAGGCGGACATTTTAGTGGTGGTGTTGTATTGTCTGACCCGTTGCACGCATTGACCACCCACACTAATCCCGAGCGCTATGTAGTGCGGCTTGCCCTTAAGGAGCCCGCTAACAACGACAACAAGAGCTCCTTAGAGCTAGAGGTAGTGGGGAAGTAGCCACAGGCCTCTTCTGCTTCCCTAGAGCGCCGCTCCACCAAGCTCCGCCTAATGGAGATTATTGGAGAGATCTACGATCTCTAGAAGGAGATAATTAAGCTCATCTACCCCTTGTAGGGGTGAGCTTTTCTTTAGTTATTTTTCTATTCCCTATAGGGTAGGGGGTGTCCACCCTAGCTTCTATACTAATATAACTGTTCTCTTCATTAATTACAACTACTCCCTTAAGTGCTTTCTATATAGTAGCTTATTTAATTAATATTTAGAAGTTCGTTAAACCTTTTAAACTTTTATACTAGTAAGTACGTAGTTAAGCTGTCTATAAGCATGTTAGCAGTAGCTAAATACTTAACTTTAAAAGCTCTCTTAGCGTGCTCTTGCTTAAGCTATATATTTTAGATGTTAACGTGCCTAAGGCGCGTTATTATCTATTTATTAGCTCCTACTACTAGCTGTATAGTTTGCTAA